CCTGTTGTGAAGTTTTTCCTGCACGAAGCCAAGAACCCACACATTACCGGCCAGCCCTAGGCAGACCCGCCAAGGGCAGGTCCCCTTTCCGGTAGCAAAACCACTTGAGGGCTTGGTGGGATGCTGGCTACATGGTTGTGTATTCAATTTCTGAAAATTCACGGGACTAAACACAAACTACACCCCCTCTTCTGAGTGTACGTCATACAGTAAATACTTCAAAAAAAGGTTTTTTAAATGGGGTTTTGTTAAATGTTGGGTTGATCATGTCTCTCCTAGACCCCCCTCCCTTTCACAAACAATAAAGTCCAAGCTTCTTAGTATGACCTGGAAGTCCTCTATGATCCCCTTCCTGTTAGATAGGACAAGGGTCTCAAGGTCAGGGCAGCTCTAAATGTTTTTTCTTGCTAAATGCTAAAATGTAGCACAGTATTTTGTAGATACAGCTGTAAACTGGATGAGCTGACAGGAAATCAAGGAATGAAAGTAACCAAGTCTAGCTTGGCCAGCATGGCTCAGTGGTTGAGCATCAACCTATAAACCAGTAGGTCACGGTTCAATTCCTGGTCAGGGCACATATCCAGGTTGTGGGCTCAATCTCCAGTGTGGAAGTGCAGGAGGCAGCTGATGCTTGACTCTCTCTCATCATTCATTGATGTTTCTCTCTCTCTCCCTCTCCCTTCCTCTCTGAAATCAATAAAAGTATTTACTTAATAATTTTTTTTTAACGTAGCCAAAGTACATGCCTTAACCGGTTTAGCTCAGTGGATAGAGCGTCGGCCTGCAGACTGAAGGGTCCCAGGTTCGATTCCGGTCAAGGGCATGTACCTTGGTTGCAGGCACATCCCTAGTGAGCAGTGTGCAGAAGGCAGCTGATCGGTGTTTCTCTCTCATCAATGTTTCTAACTCTCTATCCCTCTCCCTTCCTCTCTGTAAAAAATCAATAAAATATGTTTTAAAAAATAAAAATAAAAAATAAAGTAGCCAAGTACAGCCCAGCTGGCGTGGCTCAGTGACTGAGCATCAACCTATGAAACAGGAGGTCCCAGTCCGATTCCCGGTCAGGGCACATACCTGGGTTGTGGGCTCAATCCCCAGTGTGAGGCATGCAGGAGGGACCCAATCAATGTTTCACTCTCATCACTGATGTCTGTCTCTCTCTCTCTCTCTCTCTCTCTCTCTCTCTCCTTTCCTCTCTAAAATCAACAAAAATATATTTAAAAACTTAAAATTAAAAGTAGCCAAGTATAAAGAAGCCAACATATAATTGACCAAATCGTATACATAAGAATAGCTAAGCCTCTCTTTTAGAAGGCAGAACCTTCCGTGTCCTTTACTTGCTGCAAGTAAAACTACCTTGTGATAACTACATCTCCTTTTTCACTATTGCAACCCAAGCAGCAAACCCCTTGAGTTTGGTAACATTCCCACATCTTCTCCATTCTTCCTCCTCCCAGGCCAGCGTCTGCACTACTGCAGGACACTGCTGCACTTTCTCACCACCACGTGCTCCCAGGGCTGGACCTGCACTAGTCCACGTGCAGCCGTTGACCTGCACCAGGCTCCTGACCCTGGACCCATGACAGGTGTGGCCTGGGCAAGACGCACTCCGACACAGCTTGTGCGTAGTTTCTTACGTTCCTCACCTGTCCTGATATGACAATGTTTCCGATAGTGTGGGTTAAAAGGAATGTTACGTGCTCGCTTCGGCAGCACATATACTAAAATTGGAACGATACAGAGAAGATTAGCATGGCCCCTGCGCAAGGATGACACGCAAATTCGTGAAGCGTTCCATATTTAAAAAAAAAAAAAAAGGAATGTTACTACTAGGCTCCTTCTTGCGCTCCATTATGCCCTACGTGGGGCTCTTGCTGCTCCCAAAGATTTGTTTCATGATTAACAGCCTTCAGTTTCCAGTAAACCGCCTCTCCCAGTTTCCATGGACCACCTGCACCGGCCCCCACCTGCACCGGCCCCACCTGCACCTGGGCCCCCACCTGCACCGGACCCCACCTGCACCTGGGCCCCCACCTGCACCGGACCCCACCTGCACCTGGGCCCCCACCTGCACCTGGGCCCCCACCTGCACCGGCCCCCACCTGCACCCAGGCCCCAATTTGCACCGGGACCCCATC